AGACTACAAATGATGACCTTGCACCGTCCACCTGCCTCAGATCTCCCGTTCCATTCCCCCCCATCATTTGCACCCAATCTTTCTCCTCTCATTTCCAGTTTATCGCTTTTATTTCATTTGTTCAATCTCTCAGCAAACATTCCTTTCTCTTTTTCGTTTATTCATTTCGCTTTTAAATAAGCTATTCATTTTATCCTATATTATATGATCGATCGAATCCTAAATGATAAGTGAAAAGCTAAAGTAAAAGTAATGTAATTTTATTTAAGTCTAAAGTAATTTAATCTTTCCATAATATATGTTCTTTAAACTAACCTTCTACTTCATTTCTTCGTAATATGCTTTTTTCACGTTGTTCCTTCTATTTTTGATAATAATGATTATGAAAACTGATGTTATCATCAATGATAATTTATTAGAAATTACTTTAGTTAACTTTTTTGGTAACTATTTGATTATGCTCTTCACTATTCCACAAATGATAACATTTTACTGGAAATATACTAACAATTTCTAATTAATTATCATTGGAAATTAAGGTGCAGAATTTCCCATACAAACATGTTGCATATTACTATTCATTGACGTGGAATTGAATGAGTTTGTTCAATGCAATATTGTTGCTTATCATATCATAATCGATCGATCATTTGAATGTTAGAAATCAGAAATGATGAAGTCATTCTTTATCATCATTTAAATATCAGAGGTGAAGTTAGAAGTGAGAAATTATTGAAAAAGTAGAAAAGTGAAAAAAGTCATATATTACAATTTTCAATGTGATATTTATCGTATCATCAAAATGGAAAAAAGAAAACCGAAATGTTTGCATTTTAAAATTCACAATGCAATTTAGATGCTTATACAATAACATTTTATCGGTAAATATCTTGCTAAATTTCTTCACTTAGAACTTCAGAATCTATTGTTTCACCCATTCATCTTAGGAATAAACAGGTAAATTTTTCACTAAATTATAAATGATGAATCGTTCACCTGTAATTTTTCACTAAATTATAAATGATGAATCGTTCAACAGTAGATATGATTAAATCAGATTTTTTAAATTTTATCTCTTCTTAACAAATCCCACAATATCATGTACGCCTGTAAATTTATAAGTAGTTATGATCAAAACTAGATTTTTTTTAATTTTATCTCTTCTTAACTATTCCCACAATATCATGTATTAATCGTAGTTGTAATAATATTAAATTAAAATTAATGCATTATTTTGAAATGAACATAATATTATGCAAATTTTTAAGCCATTCAAAATGGATAGTATTATAGAGTTCCAATTTAATCGAATTTTCTCGATCATCTTTGAAAAATTCAGTTTACTACATTTCATTTTATTGAAATCCATTTCATTACGCTTTATTTGAGCTTTTTTTTTCCATTTCAGATATATTTTATTCATTTCAGATATATTTCATTCATTTCAGATACATATATTTTCTATACATAATATATATATATATCTGAAAAAAAATTTATATATACGTATAAATAAAAACCTCTCACTACATAATAAAATATAAACATAATGTACATGTTACACACATACACACATACACACATACACGCCTACAGATGCTGATAGATGCAAAGTCTGTCACTCCAATGTTGATATACATTTCTGTGTATATATGTATATATGTATTGGCTTGTATTTCAGCGTAATGTAAACAAACCTGTCCAGGTGAAGTTGTATATATGCCTGCGTCCATTTGTATATTCACCGATGACTCATTCAACCAAATATACATTCCATTTCCTTAGCAAAATTTTCTCACATACAAAAATGGATTAACAATATTAATTGTTTGAAAGAATTCCATATTATTAAAATATTATCATTCATTTTTTTTCATTTCGATTTAATGTTCGAATTGAATAAAATTTATATTGTAATTATCATTTTTTTACTAATTAGTCAATTATTGATTGATCAGCAAAAAGACAAAATCGATAGTTGTTATCAGTTCGTTTTGGTGCAAAATATATTTAATGTTTGATGCATAGATTTGATATTGTTCTTATATTTTACTCCTATCTTTTTTTAAAAGAAAGAAAGGAAGAGAGAGAGAGAGAGAGGGAGGAAGAAAGGAAGAAAAGAAAAAGGAGAAAAATTTTTCATAAATTTTGGAATGTTTAATTTGATCAATCATAATCACTTGATATTAGCAATCAATAATCTATATTTATTTATTAGCCATCGTTGATATTACTATTATTCGATATAAACAACATTTTTCTTTGAAGTACCTTTTTAAATTTTCACGAAAAAAGTAAATTGATCGATAATACTTCATACTACATAAGATGTCATTCATATATTTATCTATTCAATCAATTTATTTTATATTATATATGTATATGAGAAGATAATAAAAAGGAGCAAACAATATCATAATATTATAGGTGAAGCAAACTAATCATATCAGTAGTGATAAGCAAATTTAACAGTTGCTTGTATTTCCATATCAATTTTAGTATTTTTTTTTAAATAATAGATTAGCCAGTTTCATCAAATTTTATCTTTTTAAGATAATAAGAGAATAGAAAATTGTCACTAAAGATTATCACTCACATCACAACGTTCTCTCTCTCTCTCTTTCTCCCTTCTCTCTCTCTCTTCTTCACGTCTTACATTCATTGAAATTCCATTTGTTTTTTCAAATCAGAATGCTACCTTATGAATCAGTATACCACCTGCTGTGTGTACGGCAAGAATTCTCTTTAATGGAATTGATGATCATCACTTCGTTTTGCTATATATAGTATATATGCTATCGATACATTCTTTCGCTCATTAATTTCATATTTTTATTGTTTAAATATATTTTACCATTCATTTGATCCCATTTGATACTCAATCAATTAGTCGCCGATTATCACTTTTTCGCTAATTATATCATTATTGTATAAACCTATGCTTAAAATCATCGACTACTTATCCATTGGATGAATTGAAATATCTTTTAAGCATTTATAATCATCAGTACATCCTATATCCTACCGGAAAGTTTATCAATATTTTACCGAAACTAATATGCAAATTACGACGTTCTACATATGGAGAAATATATTTTGTGAACGGGATGTTCAAATAATCTCCGATCCGATAGTATTTTCTGTGATTTTCAATTGTCATATCATGTAGACTGCTTTCCCGTCGAATTCAAGTAATTCAATTATTAGGAAATAGAATTAAAAAATTTAAGACAAGGAATTTGGGGAATAGCTTATGTTGTCGTAACAATTAAACTTGCTAATCCATTGTGCCACATTTGTTTCGAATAATTTGATGAGAAAATTAAAGTTCATTTGTAATAAAATGATAACGTCTGATAATGAATGGTATCACCTAATCTTACTTTCCTTTTCTGACAGTTCCATTTCAGTTATTCGAAATGTCTGGTGAATAGGAATTAGATAGCATAGCACGAGAGCTATAAAGATTGATAAAATGTGTGGAATATTATATTGCTAGAGATTGAGGGAAATTTTGTTAAATTTGATAAGATATTGGAAATTGATAAAAAGATGAGGAGATGCTGACTTTTTATATCAGCTAAATAGCATAATAATTTGGAGAACTGATATTGATTAAATCTAAACGGTTAATATTTCATTAGGAATTGTAATTGTAGTAATTAAGTGTGAAATAGTTAGAGTAAATGAGAAGATAGAGATTGATAAGAAAAGAGAGAGAGATAATAGCTTAAATAGGCCTATGCACAAATTGCTAATGCTTTTAATAATTTCAAAAGTTTTAATGAGTTAGCAAGATGCTTTTTAGCTCTTGAATTATTTCATTACATTTTATTTCTTTTTTTAAATTAACGGAACGGAAAAGGAAGTATTCATGATTTCCGTAACCTAATACACTATGATTTTCGGTATCTGTTATGATTCATTCGGAAATATTTGTATCGTATCAGTTTGGAAGATTAAAACCGTTTTTCAGGATGTATTTTAATCAACTGAAAACCATTTTTGACTTGGATAATTGAACAGCTTAGAAATTGTGCATAGTGCCGGATAACGAGCGGATATTCGATTCCGTGTTTAAACTATATCAGTAATTAAATATTGCTATTCCTAGAATAAACAAATTACACGTATTGTTTTCGTAACCATTTTATTATTTTTATTTTTAATTAACAATGTGTTTTTGATTAGAAACAATATACTTCATTCTCTTCTCATAATTACTTTATGTTAAACTTTCTTTCGTTTCATTCCTTCGTTGTAAGTGGCATTATTGTTACCATTACTATAATTAATGTTAAAAGTGTTGTTTTAAATTGAATATCAATTGTTCAGCTAATTACATTCAGTGATAAGTAATTCAATTAATTCAAGGTAGCATCTAATAAGAATTTGCGCTCACATTCATTAATTACACCTAAATTAAGTAATTGAAATATGAATTATTAATTCCAGGCAGGTAGTCAGGTAATTATATATAATGTATTAGTTAGAAGTGGAAAATTATTACATATAATCTCGAATTAAAGAGCTAAACGTGAAATATAATTGGAATCTATACGTATAATCTATCCATATAAATAAGCGAATTAATGCTAAATGAACAGGAACATATCCAATTTGAATGAAAGAATGATTGATTATTAAAATTGATATTTTCATTCAATGTTTGAAATTTTAATTTTCATCACTCAAATTAATTTCTATCATTTTTTTTTGATTGATATTATTTTTTGCTTATTGAATAATGCTATACTACAAATTAGTATTTGTCGTTGCTGTGACAACGTGATATGATGGTTATAATATCTTTTTCTTGATTTTATTATTTCATTTTCTAAATTTATAATGTTATAATGATTAATTATACGTTCTTAGATGTTGGATGAAACGTAATCATTAACGTACTGTTATGTTTATATTCGAAAAATTTAACTTAATTTCAGTTGCTGGCTAACACTAACCATTAGAAGTGGCGTGTAAACGTTGACTGGAAGGATATGCCTGTTCGCAGAGCAGGAGGTTTTTTTTTAATTTATATCTATTTATCAATCAATCAATCAATATATATATAATTTTATTTATTTAATTTGATTTTGCTAGTTTATCTTGAATGGAAGAAGTTATTGAATGAAATGAGTTATTTATAACGTCATGTTGATATCAGATCATTGCAACAGTGAAAGTACAATATGATATTTTGTTAACAGGAAGAAATTTCAGAAGCGCATCGCGCATTGGAACAACTTGAAGAGTATCACGCTTCACTGGTAAGTGCTAGTTCGGCTGATTTAAGACGACAAATCGAAAAACTTATCAACAACTTCAAAGGAGCCCTTTTTCAATCGTTAATAGGTATAGTATTGTAGTGATTTTATTTTGAAGTATTTTTTAAAACAAAGTTCTAGAAAATTCGTGATGGTTTCTTTCAAAAATTTATTTATCGTAATTACAATAACGTCCCGTTTCATTTATTCCTATTCATTTAAACTATATGAAAATTGTGTGTATTAATTTATCATATTCAACTTCTTTCTTTTCCTCCTTTTGTATTCATGAAAATTCTAGAGTGTTAAGTCTTATATATAAGATATTGCCTTGCTGATTAACTGGTTCAAGCCGTTCCATAAGTTTATCTTGTTAAGGATGCAGTTATATTTCTTCCAGGAAACACTTCTTTTGTTTTAAAACAAAAAAGTGGTGGGTAGTATTTTTTTTCATATAGTATTTTGAAGATATCCAAGAGTTGTATGAAGATACATTGTTGAATGAACGGAAAAGTCTCGAGCAAAAGGCATATGAAACACGGAAAATTGCTCAACGTTGGGAAACAAATCCACCATTTGGACGTATTAATGCACCGCTTGCTTCACTTGTAAGTTCGTCTAGTTTTTTTTCCAAATTTTCTTACTTAAATGATTCTTGATATGTTGATTATTTGCACGTTATATATTATAAACTATTCGAATGTTTTATGTTATAGATGCAAGTTTTCATAAAGGGCATTGCGAGTTGCAAATTACAAATACAAATTCTGTATATTCCAGGATTCTGGTCTTCATTACAGTGATCAAACTATTCCGTACACAAATGGAGGTGAATATAACGTGCAGTCGTATTCATTACGTGAGCAGAGAAAGCAGTTTGTGAGTTTTTTATTATTTACTTCTAATTAGCTTTGCTTTATCTTCTCTGATTGTATGAGTTAAATTTTGTCTTGGGAATAGATAATATTAGTTAGATTAAGCACCAATCACTTCTATTGATATTTTTTAACTGATTACAATTCGATGTGGTTGATTTCAACCATGCTTTCATCAGCAAATATGTTGGGCAGTATTATCAGATGACTCTTGAATACATTCTTTAATAATTTTTTATCGAAAATAAAAACATTGTTGATCGAAAAACGATTATATTTTGTTCTAGACTTCGGGTGATGGCTGGCGATCCACAGAAAGAATTACTCAAATGATTCCTACGGGCCAATTAGTCACAACAACTGTAATATTTTCAATCGAATTTAAATTCCTTTTTTTGTTTCTAATTATTTTAATCAAACTGTGGACATTTTTTCAGAATGATAGTGAAGGAGGAGGAAGAGAATCAGTAGCTATTTATTCGGTTTTGTTTTTGTTTTGTGATTTTGCCTATTTTTCAACCTGTGCATGTCTTTTAATGTATTATGCAATACGTACTAGTTTTTAAAATTGTCTGATATAAATCCTTGTTGTAACAGCATTCATTCCTCTACAACTGTCCTTATTTTATTTAAGCTATCCTCTTTCTTTTATTCATTCAAAGTCACTTTGACATTACCTTTCTTGGCTTCGTGATTAAATTTCGATTATTTTTTTTGAGAAAAAAGACAGATAATAAATAGCTTCAGAATAAAGGATAATGAATGAATAGTTTCATGAAAAGATTCACCCCACATTTCATGTTAAGTTCTGAGAAGAAGAGGTTGAATTGTAACTGTCCAACCCAGATCATAATGATGATTTTCGAGAGTTGAAAAATATTTGAGGTTTGGGAATGTATTAATTCGATGACAGTACATGTTTCATGGATTCACGATTTGTTCTGCTAATTATAATTCATAAATCTTATTAAATTTAGATTAACTGTTTACTTTTTGCAGACGAATGGCTTGATTGATGAGGATGGCATAGAATGGGAAATTGAGGAAGTTGTTCTCGAAAAGGGTCATACCGGACTTGGTTTTAGTATTGCGGGTGGCCTTGATCAGCCGTACATTGATGGAGATCCTTCAATCTATGTTACAAATATCATACCTGGTGGAGCTGCAGCTGCTGATGGACGAATGAAGTAAGCTATTTCGTAAAAGTTTTGTATAAGATAACTATGTATTAACCATTATTAACTGCAGTCAAATTTTGATTTTTAAATCAAGCTTTGTATAATATAGAAAAAATGCATTTATGAATAATACCCTAATAAGTTAACGTGTTTCATTGAAGAATTCAAGACATTATTATGAAAGTAAACACCACCGATTGTACACGGGTACCACATGAAACAACGGTCAATGCGTTGAAAAATGCAGGAAATGTTGTCCGTTTGGTTAGCTTTTATCACTTATTGTAATGAAATTTGTATTGGCTAAAATATATAATTTATCGTTTAATCAGCTACATAAAAATTAATACATTTCCGGTTTTAAAACGGCGCCGTTCCGGACGCGAAAGTGCCGATCTTAGGGGAAGCATTATATCACCGTACATTTCACCCTTGCATGGTGGATCATCTGTATCAGTTCTACCGCCACCAGTTCCACCAGCTCACGGTTCTTATACCAATATTCCTATTCAGCGGACATTACGTGAAATCGAAAGATTGGAACGAATTCCTGGTGCCCAAAAAATTGAATTGTTCAAGGTATGATGGTTTAAATGTAATATAATTTATGGTGCCATATTGCATTTCATATTCTTTTTTTCCTATACACTGAATTAATAACTCACTAAACTAATGGAAACTTGTAAAAGATCTTAAATTTAAAAATCACCGCTCCATCAATTATATACAAAATGTGATATAAAGGAATTCAATTAATTGTACATTGGTAACATCCATACTAAAAGCAATACTTTTTTTTATTTTGAATGTTGATTTAGGGTTCGAAGGGACTTGGCTTCAGCATAGCTGGTGGAGTAGGCAATGAGCATGTGGCCGGTGACACTGGCATTTATGTGACAAAGATTATTGATGGTGGAGCAGCATATCATGATGGTCGTTTGAGAGTTGGCGACAAACTTTTAGCTGTAAGATTTTTTTAGACTTATTTCCGGAAAGCGTTTGGAAGAAATTCCATATTACCACTCTCTGAAATATTTTTCATTTTATTCAAGTGCATTTGATTAATTAACATAATCACCGTTTAACCTCGATCTATATCCTGGAAGTAATCCAGCTCCTTCTGATTTTCTTTGGTATATTTAAGACCAAGTTGGTTTATAATTTCTCATGTTATTATTTTGGCAGATTTAATATTATATGTAATATATATTTTGGCAGATGTAATATTTTTACATGAAAGCTTGGCTTTGAAATTGTAAAGGTTTAATTTATAAATAACACATCGATATTTAATGGAAATAATTTAATTATTTATAAGGTCTGAGACAACATCCTTTTCACTTTTTATAGATTAATACCAAACGGCAATCTTATATTTGTAACTAAAGCGTTTTCATTATCCCTAAAATTACAAAACAGCCTACTTTTAAGGTTGATGATGTAATTCTGGAAAATGTTACTCATGATTTTGCTGTGAATACGTTGAAACAGACGGCTCCTAAAGTAATGCTGGTCTATTTAAAAAACCCGCATCCAGAGCTATTACCAATTTTTGATGAAAGTGGTAATCGTTCATTTATTGCTCCACCCACTCCTGCTCGTTCCGGTAAGCTTGTATATCTTCCGATCTTATTATATGCCATTGAATAGATCAAATTAACGATTATGACTACTTTCAAGTAGTACTATTGAAGTATCGCTCTTCAAGATATGCAATTTGCGTTTTAAATATTCATCTGATATCATCCTTAAATATACCTATTGCTTTTGAGAATGAGTACTTTTTCCCGAGTAGCATGGAAATAAAAATATTTTGCTGAGGATAGTTCAAGAAGATATTGTCAGATATGATCTGAATCGTCCATAACGTGATTGGTTTATTTACTAAATAGACTACTAAAACGGTTAATATCTTGGTATTTTTGTTATATGACAGTGTGCTGCAGATATTCTTAAATAAAATTTTTTCTTTCAGCTGCTTCGCTACAGCACGATTCATTTGATACGCAACAATCATTTCATACAATAGCACAGCAAGAACTACCGTTAGGTCCACGTGTCGTGCACCTTAATCGTGGAATGCAAGGATTAGGTTTTAACATCGTTGGTGGGGAAGATGGTGAACCGATTTATATCAGCTATGTTTTGCCTGGTGGTGTGGCTGATCTTTCTGGGAATGTAAGAAAGGTATGTTATTTTAAGCAGATTAAAATTTCGTATTTTATCGTAAAGCACGTGCTACATACTTAATGTACTCTTGAGAATTTGAGCATTTCTTGTGTTATTATATGATTTCGAATATCTTGCAATTTTAGGGTGATGTGTTATTGCAAGTAAACGGTGTCAATTTGCGAAATGCAACCCATGCTGAAGCAGCTCGTGCATTAAAGGAAGCTATTAATCCTGTGTCCTTAACGTTACAATATCGACCACAAGGTATCATAACCTTCGAAAATTCTTGCTAAAAATGCGATCCATAAGTGATAATGCATTAAATAATTGAACTATTTTCGAAATTATTTCACATTTGTAATGTTTTTCAAATTAAGTGGATAACTTGCCCGAGTAATTTGTTTCTCTCATTATTGCAGAGTATGGACAATTTGAGGCTAAAATTGAGCAACTTCGTCGAGATTTGATGAGCGGTGGGGCGGTAACTTTTGGTCCTTCACGTAAAGAGCTTTTCGTCAGGTACTATTAGAATATATCTCTAATGAATTTTCATTTTCTGGGATATGAAGTTAACTCATGGCTTCAATTTTTACAGAGCCATGTTTGACTACGATCCAGCACGTGAGGCAGGTGTTCCACATCGTGCTTTACCTTTCTTTTATGGTGATATTTTACATGTTACGAACGTTGCGGACGATGACTGGTGGACAGCACGATTAGTTACAGAAAGCGGTGAAGAGGGTATGGAAGGGATTATTCCATCCAAGAAGAGAGTTGAAAAGAAGGAACGGCAACGGAGAAAACAGGTAAAGGGTGGTTTTACACGAAATTCGTTTACGGACGTTTGTATTTGTGTATTTTCTGAAAAGTCTTTAATGGTTTATTTTCATTGACAGTGCTACCATTTCTCTCGATTTTAAACTTATTTTTTGTAAATAATTTGTTTTTTTTTTTTTATAATTGTTAACTGAGGATTCATGAAAATGATCAGAGTTTGAGGAGTTGAGTTCTTTTCCGTATTTTATTATATTATGTAATAAATTTTAACTTATTGAGTTCTTTTATTTGCATGGGTAAGGATTGCTTTTCAAAAAAATGCTCAAATCGGAATAAGCTAAAAGTGCTCAAATTAGAATAAGAAGGTTTCATTTTTCAACATTAATGTCTTTAATATCATAAATTATGCATGGGATCTTTTGTGGATGCGAAATATTTCTTCAGAAATCGTCATTTCAAACTTCAGCGATTTTTAGGTGAATTTTAATGCTGGTAGTCAAAGTCTTCCTCGTGGTATGGATGGACGTCGTGGTTCACGTTCACAGCTGTCATTCTCGCGTAAATTCCCATTCGTTAAGAGTACCGATAAGCTTAACGAATTTACTGATAATGAGCGTAAGTTTACTGCAATTTTTGGTTTAACTAATCTGCTTTTCTTGACGCTTTTAAATACGTGATTGCAAAAGTTTCGGCTGTTATTCACATTTACATGAAATGTGATGTAATGGTCATATCACCATGAAATTTTTTTATTCGTCACATCACTATAAGATTTCCTCAGATGGTACAACTTATACATCATACACCACAAGCGATAGTGATTACTGTAAGTTTTTTGTGTGTGATGCGTGCGTTATCTTGTTTTATTTTACATGTTTAACATGATTTACTAATTCGTAATGTTTTCTTAACTGAAAGAAGAAAAACTGTAGAAAGTTGAAAATCTAATATACATGAACCACTTAATACAATTACTTTATGTTGTGCTCTTTAATCACGAAACTGCGGTTTATGTCTTTTTTTTCTAATTTGAAGTGTAGAAGTTTCATACACGGAAGATGACATTTTTGTTCGATTTGGAAATGCTGAGTTATTTCGATTCGAGTTTATAAAATAGTAATTGCTTTTTAAAATAGTTTTATTACTATATTTTAGTTGGTGCAAGTGAAGATCCGATCATGTCATATGTCACAGTGGAACGTCAACAAAGTAACCATTTCTCTTGTTGTCTACGTTCTATTTCTTACCGCTGTTGGTGAATTCCTGTTGGTGTAGCGAAACTTCGCTATTCCATTCCAGTTATTGGTACTAAAAAGGCTATGTAATCGAAGATTTCATTATTTAAATACATAAAGCTTCATGCTTCAAACCATTATTAAATCATTCTTCATAGGTAAATTTATTGTACTTTAATGATTTCAAATTCGTTTTCATAGATTTTCCTCATTTCAGTAAATTACCCACGTCCAGTTATTATTCTTGGAGCAATGAAAGATCGTATCAATGATGAACTGGTACTTCGTGATCGAGATCGATTTAGTAGTTGCGTCCCGCGTATGTTATTGTTTTTCAACATGAATACTTTTCATCAAAAGAATCCATAGCATACGGAGCAATTTTTATGTTTTAATCGGCTATTGAATTGTTTTATTTTGAATTATAAAAGTAAGGTATTACAGATACGAGCAGACCTCCGAAACCGAATGAAGTAGATGGCCGTGATTATCATTTTGTTTCAAAAGAACAAATGCAAGAAGATGTTCGAAATAATCAGTTTATCGAAGCAGGACAATTTCAAGATAATCTTTATGGCACGAGCATTAATTCCGTTCGTGAAGTTGCAGAAATGGTATGTGAGCTTTCGAAGAATATTTGAGAATTTTGTGCTGTGGCATTTTGGTAATCGTGAAATCATTAGATTCTTGTGAATCCAAATGAATGGCCGTGATTGAGCTATGAATTATATTCGGGATATAATAAACATTGAGAATTACTTATTTTTAACGATAAAAATTATATCAATTATCTAATTTGATCGTATCATTTCTCCACAGTAAGGAATTAACTTTGTAATGTTTATTGTAGGGCCGACATTGTATTCTCGATGTAAGTGGGAATGCTATCCGTAGATTGCAATCTATTGCTAACATATACCCAATAGCAGTCTTCGTGAAACCGCAGTCACCTCATCAAATTATGTAAGTAATTTATCAACCAGTAAGATTTTTCGTAGTATTTTATACTGTATGCCGTGCTATTATGTTAATACTGTAAATTTTATGCCGGACTCGGTCATGCAGTGACTGAGGATTTCAATTAAAACATTGCTTTTAGTTCATCTATTAGTTAAGAACTTCTGAATTTCTTGATCTAGATAGCAAGATCTAATTTAGCAAATACTTGCAAGTTCTTATAGGGAATGGGATCATTCGATAAATGAAGATGATGCTCATACTGTATATCAGCGATGTCAGAGAACGGAACAAAACTTTGGAGATTTGTTCACTGGTGAATGTTCATTTTTGTATTATCTAATTGATCCATCAACGAATTATGATTCCAATTTCCCTCTTTCACATTTTTTTTCAAACGATAACTTAGTTCTTCTCATTTTTTTCGAGTAGTATATCACTGTTATTGTAATGATAGTAAATAAGATCAGTCTATTCTTTCTCAATGCACAATTTTTTGTTTTAGCTGTTGTAAGTGGTCAAACATTCGAAGATCTCGTACGTCGTGTCCTAAACGTTATTGCGGAGCAGTCACGACCGCATGCTTGGGTGCCATCACGAGCACAAGTTTTTTAAACCTCATTTTGCTTGATTATATAAAGAATTTTCTTTTAAAGGATTTTCTTATGAAGTTTTCTGTTTTATAAAAAATTTTATTCAGTACGATGTCGAAATTTTAGTCCATTTAATTTTATATAGCCAAATTTTGAAAGCTTACTTGGAAAAAAGCTTTAAAGCCGCTTTGAAAAATTTAGATGAGGTTATGTGCTCATCTTTGATATGCAATTCCGTTACTTTTATCCAAACTTGATGGGATAATCGAGCTAATATAATGATGAAATACTTCACGATGAATACAAGCTTGTTGGTAACAAACTACAGACTAAATCAATCGTATTTTCGTTTTGTTTGAAGCAAAAGAAATCATCGAATCTTTGGTTAATTTTATGATTTAACCGAATGCATGTTTCTGATATTTGTGCAGCTCTATTTTTTCATATATTGTGATTAATTGATATAATACCATTTTTTTTATCTTACGCAGCTATTATATTAGTTTTTATTTTGTTTTAATGCATTTTTCGACGAAATCAGTTTCTAAAGCGTTTTTTTTGCTATAATTTGATTTACCAAGAGTACAAAGAGGGAAGATTTTTAAGCTCTTGAAAATTTCAGAAAACTGCAAACAGTCAGTTTTTTGAATTATTTAAATGAGAGAGCAGAAATTCGAAAAGGTACATTACTTTATCACTAGAGGGAAAATTTTGGTAGTATTGTGGAATTTCTCATTTTTTTTTCGTTCACAAAACGGTATTCTTTTGGAGAATATGGTACCTGTGAAATCAGAGTTGCGCAGAACTAATGTATCGTAGGATTCTGTTTCATGCAAACAGTAACATGAAACTTTGGTATTTCGAAAAAAAGCTTCAATTGAAGAAATGAAGCATATCATTGTTCTAATTCGTATTTCATTACCTTTTACCCACTCATTACACTTATTCAAGGTTGTGCTTTTATTAATTTGTTACACTGTTTTTGAAAAAAAGGTGTGTTACGGGAAAATACGGTTCATATTCCTCATAAAATTCATCTTTGATGTTTTTTTTCTCTAAAGTTTCTAAAATTGAGCATGTGAGAAAGAAGCATTCGTCATCCCTAGAATGGAAGAGATTTTAAGAGAATTCTTTTGGAGTATCACGGATATGGGATCAATGAGGTTCGTTACATTTGTTTATTCACCGATTGGATGCGCATTGAGTGCACCGTATTTTCATCGGACTTTTTTCTTTTAACAGATTAAAAATACAAAAAGCTCATTTGTCGCATACAAATTTCCCATTTTGTTATTTGGTTAAAATTATTGCCCTAGCAAATAGCGCATCCTTGTTTTCTCAAAATGTGCCAATTTCCATTTTTCTTTTCCAGAATGTTAATTGTTTCAGAAGCGCTGTCGTGCATACTGTTTTGTACTGTGTTCGAGATCTATAATAAATATGTGATCCTTTAAAAATTTGAAAGATTTTGCAAAGGGAAAATGAAAATAGGGAGAGAGAGAGAGAGAGATGCGCCAATTAAAGGTTTTGTCGAAATTAGCATTCTTCAAGAATTTGAGGGGAAGAGGAGAAAGAGTGAAACTTACATGAAAAAGAAAGCACAACTTTCATATCTTATAAAGCTATTTTCAATTTATACCTCATTTCATATTAAGATTTAGAATGACCGAGTTATCGTGGTACAGTTAATATTTTCGATGATTGTTAGCTTACGAATGAATTACCATTGACTGATTTCATTTACCAAGCATGAATGTATTCCGGTTGCATACATTATATAATGATAATATGTCATGAAGATCCGCTGACATTTTTATCTTAATTGCACTCTGTTAAACTATCATTAGCAATCGATTTATTTATTCTCATAACTTGAAAGAGTATGTGAACAAAAAAGGAAGATAAGGTATATGAAAATTATCAAGGTAATATCTACTATAATCTAAATTTTACAATTTAAAATCATATTAACCATTAATCATAATTGTAATAACGATAAATAATGATTATAACAAAAAATTATTCATAATGGACGCAAGCAAATATCATCATTAATACTATCCGATTCCAATTCATATGAAAAATCGGATGGTTCATAGTCTATCTGTTGCCATGGACCATGCCAACGATTTACAAATGTTTGGTTCATAAATACTGATGGTGCTTCTACCTTAAAAAAAGCAATACTAAAGACTGTAATAGTAAATATATTTTGTTTTAAATATAATTTACCAAAGTAAATTTCATCTGAAAAAATATTAAAATAAAATTTACGATAATTCTTATAAGAAGTGACAAAATAAAATGAAACAAAAAGGCAAAACTTCCAGTAGTATCATTATCGCTTTCTAATTTTTGTATCATAGTAAGGAAGCAGAAATTTCAACGAAAATCACAATTAATTACCGCAGTTTCCGATTGCGTATGTGGTATTGTTCGCGGTAATTTTTTTGATATCGATTTTGGCTTTGGTAGTACAGCTGAAGACTGCGGTGGTGCAGTCAATGATGGTGTTTGTTTCGATGGCTTCGGTAATTGTGATGAACTTTCGGCTGATTTTACAGCTGCTTCAATACTGGCTGCAATTTCTGATACTTTTGCTTTTCTTGCTAAATCTGTCACGATCGTCTTTGGTCGCATTCTATGCTTAAACAACAACAATCTTTTTGAAATCTCAAAAAAGATTTTTTCCAATCTTAGTTACTGTCAAAATTGAAATAAGAAATCATAAATGCTGAACAATAATTTACGAAAAGTTTTCGCAATAAAAATTATTCATATTTGTCATGTTATGATATGCGAAAAAATTCTTTTAATCTCTTGTTTTCTGCTTAATTATTATCGTATTAGAATTTCGGAAGCCATCAGGTATACTTACCTGTCGTCTTCGTTCATAATCGTCATGCTTTCTTCGTTCTGCTCTTCCTCCTCCTTGCCGTTTGAGCACACAATATAACAGAAGAAATATGGAAATAATGAGAATAATGACGAAAATTACCAAAACAATACTCAATGCTAATACAAATTCCGGTTTTCCGGTCGGTTCTACAGTGGAGGTTATTGCTGACGGCATTTCAATCAGGCCTTGTAGTATCATATTTCCTGTTAAAATTAATTCAATTCTTTTCTGATATGTTTTGATATAATTCTTGATGTCTATACATATATATATATCGCTTGTGGGATTGATTCTATATCACAATTTGTTTTTCGTCATTTATTATTAAAGAATAGAAATTGGATGAATTTTGTCATTTTAGTGAAATACAGAAGGCATTGGTGTCATTTTCGGATTGTTAGAAATACTGCAAACCGGTTTACATGTATATATAGCAAGAGTTCATCCGTTTTTGCATAATCCGTTAGCAACGAATTTTATTTGGTGTATGTTTTAAAAAGCGAGAAACGTTTCGTAGAAAGACAACAACAATTTTCAACATAATTTTTGAATACTAGTTTGTATTCTTTATAAAACAAAATTGTGCATGAAGAAGTTATTTCTTTCAGGAATTTTTCCCGAAATATGATATCAACATATAAATTATCAGAATTATCAGCAATATGCTATTACGTCAAAATGACCTGTAAACAATTTATCAATTATCATCAAAAAGCTAAAACTTTGAAAACTATGAAAGATACCGGAAATTGCATCATCATCTTCAAATGATCCTGCTTCATCTGAGTAGTTGAAGGCATAACACATGCTATCAATTTAGGATGATGATACTACGTTGTATGTTTATAACAAACCGCTTACTTATATCTCAATAGCTAGCAATAGCCAATTTCGCTATCAGAAAATTATTTATAATTACGCAATAGCTAATAATGCACGGAAGGAAAATATTTATGCAAAAAATAAATGAGAAAAGTAAGGGCTGAATTATCAAATTAGACTTTATGAAAGGCAATAAAGATATAAAGAAAGATAATTCAATAAAATATTTAAAATAAAGAAATAATGAAAATAATAAAGAAATTAATAATAAATAATATAAATAAAATAATAAATAGTAAAGATAATAAAGATAATTCAATAAAATATTGAAAATTTTTACGAGAGATATATTACAGATCTTTCGAAAATGATGATAATATGACAAATATCACTTCTTTTCTGTTTAATTTTAATGGAATTAAACCAATAAATTAATTTGAATTAGCTAAGGTGATGATTATAGTGAGAGTTATAAGCCAGGTTAGTTTCTATAAGGAGAAATAGAGATCTTCTAAATTAGATATCAACATGAAATAGATGATGAAATGGAAATGGATAAGCTTTGGTAATTATTTTTAATATCAATTTTTAATGCTTCAAATAAATCTTTCTACAAATTTGATTCAGAGCTTTTTTGTAATTCTATTTTAAATTCACAAAATATAATTTTTCACATGAATTTAGCATTTTCACAACTTTAATTTGTTGTCAATTATATATTCATCATGTATAATTGACTATTGTTTTAATTATTTTCTATTTCTTTCTATGCATTTTGTATTGTATTTCCATTTCCTATGTTGCTGTTCCGTTAATTATTAACGAATTTTTAATTATTAGTGGTTATTTGAATAGAAATATTTTGCAGTTAATATCAATTTTATGATAAATAATCTTTTATTGATCAGCAATTGTTTATATAAATTGTTTTCGTTGAGTTCAAATTTATTTAAATTTAGGTGTATTTCATAATTTCCACCTATTTTATAAGTCATTAGGAATTACTTTATAAGTCATTAGGAGTTAATACATGTTTACATCATCTTCCGTAATTTTTGTACTTTGACATATTTATTACAATTATTATTATTATTATTATTATTTATTATTATTATCGCTATTACTATAAATATCGATAACATTTGTTGTTTATAAGGATTACCTTTTGTTATATTCTCCTTCCGTTTCATTGAGCAATTTTATCATTGAGTGATATGATAATAACATTTAGTGAAATTCCTTTCGTATTTGCTTTAATTCAACTTCCTTATTTATTGCATGTTCAAATATTTTAGTTTGCATTATTGTAATTTGTAATTTAATTAATTTTGTTAATTAATTAACACAAAATTTGAAATTGCAATTTAACGAAGAGTTATTTGTAAGTGATGTGCTCATAGTTGCATTTTGAAATATTCTCATCAATTCTTATGGCTTAAATTGCAATATCATTTTGTTGCGTTTTAAGCTTCTGACATTAATTAGATTTTAAATTTGTTATTTCTAATGAGGGAATTGTGTTTGGCTTCTCTTTCCTATTCTTTTATTATTATTTGTTTTCTGAAACTTCTTCATCTGTGTTCCTCTCGAAACTTGCTTTCTTCAATGCTTTCCAATATCCGTCTAATATATCATGCAATCATTTCTGAGTGATGTTGAATGAGAAAGAAAAATATTTCGATATAAAATATATTTTCCGTAATCATATATATCCGTACACTGATTGTAGGAATTTCGCCAAAATCTTTTTATTCAAAACATGTCGATAAATGACGAAGATGTGATATAAGGTGAAGCTATTTTTTAAATCTTTCGTGTAGCAATTGAAAAACTGTCATAACAAATTTGATTGCTAAAGGCGAAATTCATTAACTTCCATTCGACAACTACGAGATGAATAGTTTTCTACAATTAAATTTAACTTATATATTCCGCATAGTCTTTTAATAAAGATGAGTAAAACAATAAATAATTATTCTCTCTTCATATATCAACGACACTATTTCAATTTCATATCGTTAGATTTCATTTTTCCTAAAAGTTATTGTGTCAAAATTTTAGAATACGGTAGTTTGTAGTTTCAATGAAGAAAAAATACTTTGATAAGAGAAACAGATTTCTTTAAGAAATGAAAAGAACTATTTCAATTCTAATATTTCA